CAACCCCTCCTCCTCCTCCGCCTCCTCCTCCCAGCTTCCCTGATCGTCACACAGAAAGAGTTAGCTCTGCTGTATGAGTGATTTCAAAAATATATTCAACAAAAAGTTACAATTATAGCCACATGTGCTGTATCAACTTTAAAAAAAGAGCACAAAACAAACAAACAAACGCATGAAATGTCCCCTGCCTTTGGATCCGTAGTTTGAAGCCACTGCAGCAGAAAGTGGTAACAGAGCTATCTGAAATATCTTTTCCTTTAATCTGTTACCATGACGACGGCGCTCCCACCCCTCCCCATCAGCAGCCTCTCTTTCACACGACAACAAAAGCAACACTGCTGCTCACACACCCACTGCAACGCTAGCCTCCACCGTGTGCAACCATAACTTTTAGTAATGGGGTTTTCAGTATTCATTTTAATTCGCTTAATTAGTTTTAAAAAAGATAAAGCCAAATCTAACCGAGCCACCAACTACAAACATAAATAAAGTTTCCCTTAATTCATTTCCAAGTACATTCCCGGAGCCTGTTTAGCCACATAAATAAATAAATAAATAAATAAATAAAACCGTAATTTAGCCCAGTACTTTATCCAGGTCACATAACCCTGGATGTGATGAGGTTCTTCACTCTGAATACAAAACCTCTCAACTCATCATGGCAACCTTTGGCTGCCAATGGTAGTATCAGCATGTGATGGTGCTATGGCGCCACCTTGTGTTGACTGGAGAGGGGAAATACGGAAGTCTGTCGTGTCTGTCTGTCATGAATACTGTAAAAACCTTGTATATTGTGTCTTCTTATATGGATGTTTATATTGTTTATATATCATTGTTCTTGTTTACAGTTGTTTATATAGTTGCTTTAAAAAAATCTTGTCTATATCTTGCTGTTCAGTTCAGTTTTTATCAACTGCATTGTATTATACTGAGAGTATTTAGATTAATTGATATAAATACAGGTCGACAAAAAAGTAAAAACAATATAATTCAGCAGAAGACACACATATATGTATGTATATATGTACGCATATATCTATATACACTCCTTTTGTATTAAAAGGAACCAGTAGTTTGTTATTTAAAATAAAAATTAAATCCAAGTATTCCATTTAATGCACTGGTTCAAAAACTGGACTTTGACTGCAAGGGGATGATAAATCTGTGTGTGGGTGGTGTGTGTAGGCCACTGTTTGCTAACACACCACCAGTGGCTTAATTTGGTTCATGCAGTCTGCCTGAGTTCATTACAGAGCGTAGATGGAGGATCAGAACAAACTTCATATAAAACTGAATTCATGTTTCGTACTATTTTTAAGGTAAAAGAGTAATTTCTTTGACATACCAAAGTGGCTCTATTTTACCAACCAGTGACCCTTGCAATAATGCATTATCTAAAATGTGTTGTTGGAGCAGTTTGAAAAGATAATACTATACACACTGAGCTCATTAGAAGTGCTTGCCTGCAAACATGCATGTTTTTTTTCTTATTACATAAAAACCATGAAGGTCTTTATTGAAACCCAACAACAGGAACTGATTATGTCAAGAGGCCTCCTCATGTTTCGAATCTGAACTTCTTTCATCCTCCCAACCTAACAAGAGACACACTGGTAACTTACTTACAGCTTATTAGTGTCTTTGAGAAAAGGAAAATATGAACAATGGTTGGGCAGCATTACATTAGTCAATGCTAATTAAATTATTTAAAGCAGGAGAGAAATTAAAGAGAAAGTAAAACATGGCCATGAAAATTACACTATTGTCTGACCTTGTTTTCTGGAATATGTAAATAAATGTTGGCCACTCGGCGCTTCCCCCTTAAGTGATGCTGAAATAAACACAACAACAAATTTGAAAAAAAGTACATTTTATTCGGATGAGAATTTTCAATGAGATGATAAACAGCTGTTGTCACATCTGTAAAACTACAGCATAAGCTTCTGTGTGTGTGTGTGTGTGTGTGTGAAGAAATTGAATTATTAAAATTAGAGGCGATATGGAGTTAAAGTACTAATGCTATGCAAATGCAAAAGTATTCAAAAGTTTATAAAATACATATTAAAATGGTAAACAAAAATAGTGTATCATTAATAAATGCTAAATTTGATTTGTTGTGGTGAGTTTGACAGGATATGTTTATGGATTTAAATATGTGTAACATAGAGTGTATTTGATAATTAGCATATTGCTTGTCCAAGTATATAGTTTGAATTTGAATATTGATTTCAATATTCATGCAGCATAACATGCTTATATAACAGTCAATTAACAATTAATTAGGCAATCAGATACTATTACTGTAACTTGCAACTGTGGTGCATTAAATTATTAGCTCAACATTGTCATTATTGATTGTAATTTAATCTATTAAAATAACATCACAAAATTAAAGTCAAGTCACATTCTCATACTGTGTAAATATGTTATATAATCTAGAGTATTCAGGCTTTTGAGACTTTAGGATATAGAAAGACATTCTGTGCTTATAAAGATAAAGGGTTGTTCCACTCATTTTCATTTTTTGCTTGTTGCAGGTTTCTGTATTTTCCCTGTTGATCTTTGTTTCCTTGCAGACTCTTAGCATAACGTGACCTCCAGTCTCTTTCGAAGGCAGCCTTGACATGTTCCAGGATTGTCACTTCCCTGTCTTGAAGACTATTTTTCATCTGAACCACCAGGCCAACTCCTGCATTAATGGCAAAGTCACTGCCAACCCAGTCATGGTTACCTGTGGACAAACAGCAAACCTTAGATATTGTGTCTGTAACAGGTATTATTACTTTGATTTCCAGTTCTGTGCTTTATTTCTTGATGTGTGCACATTTATATATATAGTCTGGTGTGTCTTAGTGTCTGTGTGTGTGATCAGAGGTTAATAGAACAACATACACTGTATACAGTACATTAGACAATTACACTATTTACAACACAATAACTATATTAGAAAAATAAGCTGTTTCACTTTCTTGCCGAGGATCAGATGAGAAGATTGATACCATTCTTACATACCTCTGTTAAATATGAAGCTACAGAGGGTTAGCTTAGCTTAGCCTGGCTCTGTTTGAAGGTAAAAAAAATCTGCCTACCAGAAGTCATTGATTAATATGTTATTTCTTGTTAGTTTACTACATACAAAAAGGGCTTTTCTTGGACTGTGAGTTCCTGGAGTCTCTGGTTTTAATAGAAAACCTCAAGATGACAACAAGACCAGAAGTCCCCCGTAAATTGTATGCTATGGCTGTGTGTTTGGGAGTGTGTCTGTATGTGCGTTTGTGTTTTCTTAGCCTAGCCTCCGTCTGAAGGAACTCACCAGAGGCCCTGGTTCTTTCTCTTATTTCCCTCCAGTTTATCTCCTTTGTCCTCTTGTGTTTGTACTTTTATTACGTAGATTCATAAAGCCCCGGGAACTAGTTGAAACATTTTCAATTCCCCTCTAAAGTTTGCTTTGTTCTTTCTGGTAACCCCACAATGAGGTCATGAATTTAGGAAGTTACTGCTCCAAGCAAAGACAAGTTCAGAGGTTCTCAGGCAGATTTCTTTTTCTTTAGACAGAGCCAGGCTCATTACCCCCTGTTTTCAGGCTTCTAAACTAATTGTTTCCTCGTTGTAGTTCCATATCAATAATGGTATCAATCTTCCCTCCAAGTCTCGACAAGAAAAAGAATAAGTCTGTTTCAAAAATGTCAAACTACTCCTTTGACAAAATACTGTTTTACATTTTTAAAATAGCACTGAGTATAAAATACTATAAAAGACCTTCTGAACCAACCATTTTGAAAATGTGTAAATGCAAATAAAATCATCAATAAAAAGAAAGAAATTGTAAATGGAATTGGTTGCAAACATATTCTACATCCTTACCGATGTAGACAGCATTATCGGTCACCATGTACTTGTTGTGGTTGAGGCCATGTTGAATATCATCCTTTTGCTCCTTGTGACTAAAAAACCTCTGCAAAAAAATGGATTTAACAAAACTAGTATGTATAGATACCATAGATACACGCATTCTCAATTTAAGATTTACATAATGTATCAAAAAGAATGTCCAGAAATTCACTCAAAACTACAGCTTTCCAAAAACATTTGTACTACCACCTCACATACCACCTCTAGTGAACAGTTGAGCATCTGCATGCAGAGCGACTTGAGGGAGGCGACGAAGTTAAAGGTGAGAGGGTGAGTCTTCTTCCAGAAGCTTATCAGCAGGCGGACTCTGACTCCTCTCAGAACCACCGCCTCTCTGATCACCTCATCAATAGCCGACCAGTACCTATTGATGCACCCATTGCAATTAGACACTGTTTTACAATCTAAAGGCATACAGAGTGTTTCTCAAAGTTACTGTGTTTCTTCCCTAAACCATAAAAAATATACAGGTTATAATGGAACTTATTTGTCACAAGAAACCATGTTTGAATGTCCAAGCTCTCAGGAATATAGAGGTTGTACCTTGTGACTGAGGTTCCTCTGAAACGCCTGTTGACCAGAGGGAGGTAGTCTGTCACGGATATGAAGATAAATTTCTTTGCACTTTGGATGACTTGATAAATGGCATCTACATCTCTGGTGCGATCTTTAGAGCAGAAGAGTTCAGGAGAGGTCTGCAGAAAGGATACATCACTCAGACAAGTTTGTACCCAAAATTATATAAAGATTACGGAAATAGAAGAACTGAAAGGTGGACAAAAATATGATTTAGACTTTTAACATTCAGTTTGCTTGAAAAGTGGCAACACCCCACTGAAAAATGTTACACTGAGAAGGGCAACATAATTTGGGTTTATTATTTTGATGGATTAAAGGGCAAGAAAAACAACAAGGCACATTTCTCTTCGCATGTATCACTACTAGTGAGGCATAAGAGCAGGTTGGAGTTGCCAGCAGCTTGTGACAGCATGGCTCCATTAGTTCCTATAAGATGATAAATGTGCTAAATGCAACTGATAAGCGTCTTGTCGCTTGGAGGGTAACAAGATTCATTACTGTCAAATTAGGCTGAGGTACTGAGATATTGAGACTCAAGATGCTCCGCAGTGTGGTGTTAACATGATTAATCACCCCCTGTGTGTGTCTGTTATTAGTTGGTAATGAAACTTTAAAGACATCTAGTCCAAAGTCAGGAAATTGGTGCCTTAAGAGGAATATAAACCAGTCTAAACATTTATTACAGACACAACATGTGGTTTGTGCATGTTGTATAGAGTCAATTTATGTGTTAACATGTAGTAAATAGTGCAACATAATAAAGCAGCTCCTCACAGACACATAAGCAGTAGCCTGGGTCGTGTTGAGCTGCAGCTCCAGGGCGTCGTGCCTCCCGTAGAGGGCTGTAACTCTCTTCGACCAGATGGAGGGGATGTAGTCCCTCTCGTGAAGCTGCCAGTAAAATGAAAAGACTCGGTGGAGGTCCAGAGCCAGGCAGCTGCAGTTAAACACCACCACCCCCAGTTCTTTCCTCTGTGGGGTGTCAGAAAGGAGCACAGAGGAAGAGGTGATGCAGCAGAAAAGTTGCCGTGTGAGTGTACTAGGTGTGTTCACTGAACAGGCATGCTTCAGCAATGTGAGACAGAAAATAGATAAAAGGCAAAGATAATGCAGATTTTAGAGTGAGAATAGTAACTCTCTGTGAGAGGATTTGATCATCTGATAGCAGTCATTTTAACATTTAACACATTTAACTGGAAACCACAAATGTGAACCTTATGGTGGCGCTAGAGGAAAAGTCAGGAGATCACCAAAGTCAGGATTCATCCTCTAGGCAGAATGGGAATATGAATTATATTTATGGATTGATTTATGGAAATCAATCCAGTTGTTGAGATATTTCAAGTGTCGGACCAACACTGGCATCCATAGAGCTGCTAGCACGGCTAAAACAGTGAAATAAAAAGTGAACAAGAGACAATCGTTCTAAATATATTCTCACCAGGTCATTAATTACACAGCAGAAATGTATTTTGTGTTTGTTCTATTTTGGTGAGTGACCCAGAAGCACACAGTGGTTTCAGTCTATTAAACTACAGTGCCATGTACATTATGATGAATCCCTGACAGCTTCTGCCTTGCTCCATTTTTGTCTCTCTTCTTTCCTGCTCTTCTATCATTCCCTCTTACTCTTACTGTATGTGTGTGTGTGTGTGTGCACGCCACACACACACTCATACATATGTCCATTCCTCCCTTCCCTCTGGCTCCATGGTAATTACAATGAATAGTAGTTCTACCTCCAGCCAGCACTGAAGCATGAAAAGTGCCAGGTAATCACTTCAAGCAGTAGTATGCTAATGCTCCCTGGTTCCCTCTCTATTGTGAATTACATGCTAAATGCAAAGTGAAATGCTACTTGTCTTTCTAACCCACCTCAGACAGTAATCTTAAATCATCCCTGGTGCCCATTAAGAGTTGCTGGAGTAACTGCATTGGTACAAGTGTACACTGGAATTAATCCAGTTTCTGTGTTTTGTTTTAAGTCCCTGTCAGGTGCAAATGTTATCATTTAATTAAAATTGTGTAAGCTAAAAAAGAAAAGCTACTCTAGCCATTTTTAGGCCAGACATGAATGGCAGACCTGACCACGCCTGACTGCAGAGGCTCATTTATGCTCTGTTCTGATTTTACTCTGCACACTCATGTTGTTGATGTTTGTTGTTACCTTGGAGAGTGACCTCCAATCCATATCGGCGCTCCCGATGTAAATGTGCTTCCGATCCACTATCCAGAATGAGGAATGTAGTCCTCCTCTGGTAAAAGCTGTCATATTAATAAAATGAACCACTGCAGCTAGACAGAGAGACAGACAGAGTGGGTGTTAGTTGAAAAGTTTGACAGAATGAGATGGAGAGAATTATGGAGGGCTGGCAGCCGGAGCGGCAAAGGCTTTGAATGTCAGCTACATTTGCACATTCATGATTTTTTGACCTTCATTGTGAAGTTTGGCAGACATGAAGGTTGTATGACCCGTGCTGTGGAGCTGGGGGCCCTGCACGGTGTAAATGAGCTTGTTTTCCTTGAGACAAATCAGAGATGCTGTATGTATATTACACTGCTGGCCTAAAACAGGTAACCAACATTCTTACTGAAATTGTTATAGAACACATGAGAATCTTCTTTTAAAAACTCTTTTTTTGTCATGTGATTTGTTAGGACCCATAAATCTTTATTGTGGTTGGTGACGGTGGCATAACAAATTTCTTTTATAACATGAAAATATGACAGCCACTCACTGTGTGCTGCCAAGGTCTTCAGTTCAGCAGAGTTAGTCAGACTGCTGGCAATCTTCAGTTTAACCCCACGAGATTTCAGGCTGAGCAGTCTCTGGAACAAAAGCTGACCCTGAGGAAGAGAGCAATGTTCTGTAGTTGAGCATTTGAGCAGCATTTCCGGATGTCTCTTAAAAGGCCAACATCTCAGCAGGACTAACCTCATTAAAAGACTCCATACAGATTTACTTGAAAATAATTGCATTTCCACTTATAGAGCACCTGGGAAATGCAGTTGGTTCATATTCTGCAGGAATGTAGGGGGGATATATTCAGACAGTCTACCGTGACTTTGTACCTGTTTGGCAGTGCTTGGCATTGTCTCCAGGTCCCAGGGGTTTAAGTCCCAGACAGGTGACACTACCTCAACCGAGTGCTTAGCCTGGTCCAACAGTGTTTGAAAGCCAACAGAGAGAGAGAGGTGGTGTCTGCCATCCACGGGGAGGGAGAGGTCGTCTGGAATATTCTCCACGAGATTGATGCTGAAAGTAACACGTGTCTTGAGTTTCTGAATTCTTAAAGGTCATTTAACACATTGAAGTTTGTTTGCATATCTGCTACTGTATTTGTGAAAAAGCATTGGTTGAGTCTGAAGGCTACAAGTTTAAAAATGAAACAAATGTATAGGTTAGAGAAAAGTGTTTTTACCAGGTTTGCCAGACCTCTGTACCCCATTCCTTATTTCCACTTGAGGCTAGCAGCTCAAAGGTACATTAGCTGCTGCTAGCATAACACATTTGGATCTTTGACCAGACTTTTGGCTGTTGAGTTGCATTGTGGGCAATGTAGGAGCCAGGTTTACAGTTAAAAAAAACACAAAAAGACAATATCTCTGGTTCTACTGAATATGAAACAACTCATATCATATCATATCATTTATGAATGATACTTGTTCCTAAATAACTCTGAATTGACGATTATGTAAAATATAATGATGAGTTACTGGAGAACAGACCTGGGGATACTATACACCGTTTAGCCATAACATTATGATCACCTGGGCATCCTGGTGCACCCTTAAGTTTGGAGCTGCATTAGTCGTCTAAGCCATGCACATTTGCCTGGTCAAAGTCGGCTCAAAATCCTTGCCAACGCGCTGCCCATTTTTTCAGCTTCTAACACAGACTTTGAGGACAGAAATGTGTCACCGTTGCTGCTCATATTATCCGACCCCACTGACAGGCTCGCGCATCGGAGTTAAGCGAGAGGTATATCAGTTTAATTCACTCACTGGTGCCAGTGCTGCATAATGCGTATGTTGATCGTGTATTCATGAATCATTATGTTACGGTTAGTTCATAGATATTTTACACTATACATGGATTCAAATGTGTTCTCTTTCATCTTACCGGCAATCTCTGCTACAGTTTTCCTCTGTGATACCATCCTCATCGTCCCCCCAAATGTCGACTGATGAAAAGATCAGTGCCACCAGCACAGCAAAGCAGCAGAGAAGGGCAAAGATGGCGATGCACTTCTGCTGGGTCTTAAAGATGAGGTACACACACATTGAGCAAAAGTCAGCAGCACTGCAGAGCTCAATTCTTCCCCGGTTGTAGAGTAGTGTACAGTGGGTTAACAACTTGCAGTGAAGACATTGACATGGCAGTTAGTTTTGGGTGGTGTACAGAAGGGGAATTATCAGCCCTTAAATGCTAATGTCCTCACTCAATACCATTGATCAGAGGTTAGGATTCATGATCAATACAACACAACATCTCTGTGTCTTGACTTGACGACCAGGCCACAGAGGATTTAGAAACTCTGGAGAAAAACCACCCCAGCTTCACAAATCTCACTTTATGCCACAGAGCAGAGGACAAGTGGAGTGGAACGCTTTCCAGCTGAAGGCAAATTGATACACGCTAAAGCTCAACTGTAAGGAATATTGGAAAGTCTGGTTTATGCTTTTCTGTTGCTTTTGTTGTTCAAGTGAATCCCAGCTGAGAGGGATTTTATGACCTCTGTGCCAGGATGGATACACCCAATGTTGCATTTATGACAGGCAATATTAAAGACTAGTGCGCATACGTGTGTGCAATATATGGAATAAACTGGTTGTAATAACAGTGGAGTGACAGGCAGCGTGGTCAGAGGTTATGATGCAGGAGCCTTATTACTGTCCTGATCCAGCCTGAGGAGTCTTGATTTTCACTGTTTTAAAAGTGCAGTTAGGCACTTCTGTTTTGCTTACGACTACAGATTTTCACCGTCTTATTCCCTGCCCTGTTTGGCTTTGTCGGTTTTGTTGTGAGCTGTCATCACATCACATTACATATTCCCTTTTGTTTGTGCTCGATCAATCGCATGAATAGCATCACACTGATGAAGTTTTTCTCTGAGAGATGACTCCAAGCTACAACTTTTATCAAATTTGACTACTAAACAAAAGAAAAACACGATTCAGCACCAAGTCATAAACAAGATGGGGGTCGGAGGATTGTTTGTCAACCTCATCTCCCACACGTCTCTACACTGTCTGTCTCAGGCAGTGAGGCTGAAACGCTGGTGCCAGCCGGGTGCACCTTACACTCCTCTGCTGTCCACTGAGACCGCTGAGCTCTTCGTCACATTTAGCAGAGTCAAGGACCATGCTTCACTTGTGGATGTGTACATGCTGCTTGGAAATCCTCATGATACAGAACAAGACTGACAGAGTGAGACAGGTCAGTTACTGATGCAGTAAGATGCTTTGACTTAAAAAACACTATAACACAACTGTTCAATGCAGCCAAAAATAACCTTACATACTTATGTAGTTTAGAGCTGATTATTAGAAACATGGAATCAACTTAAGGCTTCATTCAAATTAATCATTGAATGAATAATGTAACAGAAGCCAGCAGGAAAATCCAAAGGTAAACATGCCCTAAAATCCAACCTACAAACAAAGTGAGAATAATATCACATATTAAACAGATGCAGAGTGAAGCAGGTTTAGTTGAGGACTGTAAACGTCACCTTCAAGGGCTCTTGTGTGGTCGGTCCCGCCATGAGAGCAGCACTCCTTCAAACTTCTCTGACAGGTGGGAAACAGCAGCTCAGTCACACATTTCTATCTGTCTGTCTGTCTGTCTTCATCATCCAGTCCTCAGCCTGTCCAACTCTGATGTCTTCACTCTTTGTCTTCATCCTACTGGGTCCTCACTCTCCTGGAAGGTATGTGTGTGCACCTCAGCTTCTGGTCCGTCTCAGGTCCTCACATGGTTCCTCTTTGGGCGTGTGTGTGTGTGTGTGTGTGTGTGTGGCAGAAATAGAGAGAGAGAGACAGGGCTGCATGCGTGCTGCTCACTCTCTGCTCCTCAGTTGAGGTAGTGAGAGAGATGAAGAAAGACCAACCCCTCTCGTTCAAACGGCCAATACAGAGCTGTAACTCCGAGCCCCAGCAACCCCCCCTTCCTCCTCGATTCCTCCCTCCTCTTCCTCTTTATCTTCATCTTTTATCTGCCTTGTGAACAAACCTCATCTGGCAGTTGTGCTTGGCTTTAATGGGGAGGGATGCTTAAATGTGCCACTGGTGATCCACCGTTTTTTGACAGCTGTTGCAAAGCTATACCAAATTGTTCTGGACTCATTAGGTGGGACATGTACACACACTCAAAGACACATCTGCACCCAGGTCTTCCCAGAGAAGACCAAATAATTTAAAACAGCTATAGCTCCAATAATTAACCTTGACTGATGACATGTAAGTCAGCAGTATTGTCTGCTTTAATCCCCACTGTGTTTAAATCATTGTAATAAATGTTCTTTTCAGTAATGCACCAGATTTTAGAGCATTCATTCATAAAGTTCTGTCTCTTCCTATTGCACAGAAGCACAATAAAGGGCCTCGGTGGGTAAAAATGAAATATGCAAACACTTTCTTTCAACCTTTTATCCGCCCCAACAGTTTTCTCACAGATGAATATAGCGTTGCTTAATAGCAGAAAACAACATATGCTGCTCACTGCAGGCAAGCTGCTGCTGTTTATGAGTACAGCACTGTTTAGGGACTAAAGAAAGGACCTAATGAGGGACGTGAGAGAAATGAGAGAAGGATCAAAGGAGGGTGGAGTTTTCTTAAAAAGTTTACTTGGTTGTAACTTCATACATACTGTATATAGTAGTAACTAACACACTACACAGCAGTCTGCTTTATTGTGTTAAAAAAGGTTTTAAAACTTTTAGCCACATTAGTGGTGATGACATCTCGACAACTACTGGAAATTACCATTAATTCTGGTACACATGTTTATGTTTCCCTCAGGAAGAATTGTAATACTTTTGCAGATCCTCTGACTTTCATCTAGCAAAATCATCTGGTGAAAATTTTAATTTGTCAGATACTTTTGTCTATGATTAATGGCGTAAGGTAGTTATGATGGGCCCCAATGTACGCTAATATGATGGGCCCCTAATTACCATTTTTATGTTTGAAAGGGATGACTGCTCGCTTGGCTTGCAGATCTGCTCAGCTTGTCAGTCTAAAAAAACGTATACTGTATCTTCTTGTCACATGATCAAATACAGACTTGACATTGGACAACATCAACATACATATTACCCAGCAATCATCATTGCACATCTGTATATAAGAAAAATACCAAATAAAATAAGAAATTGTAAATTATTTGAGTGGTCTTTTTGTAGTTTATTTATAGTTTTTATAGTTGAAGTAGAACAAGCATATCGTTTTCTTGACTAGACTGATTATTTTATCCCCCCCAAAAAAATTAAAACTAGGATGGAGACTGGTTTGCTTTTAAGAGGACCCATATAGCAAATGGCACCAGAGCTGTTAGAGTGGCTGCAGACTCTTACTCTTCATTCAGTAAAAATTACACAGTAGTTACACTGTGAAAAGATCAAAGCCTGTGGCAGTATCTTAATGTATCTCCTTTACATACTCATTAACAAAGTAAGATTTTTTTTTTACAATCAAACAGCTGATGATTTGTCAGTGTAATTCCCAAAGGGCATGTAGAGTAAGGGTGATTTTTAATTATAGACTTGTGGCACACCGTGTGACATTCCAGAGAGATATAACAGAGTAACAAAGTCATAGCAGTGAAACCTGCTGTGTCTGTCTGGGGCAGGTGCCCTCTGCACGTCACCCAGTCTGTGAGTGAAAAAGAGAGAGAGAGAGAGAGAGAAAGAGTGGACAGTAATGTTGGGACGACTTCCCAGGGGAGGTGAATGTTCCTAAAGCTGCATATATGGGGTCAGACAGACACACTTTCATACGGGGGAAGAAGCAAAGTGACAAACAGGATGGGGCTGTCACTGTTTTCCTGACCATCATGAGCACATACAGCTGAGAGACTGAACCACAGGGCAACTTTAACAGATACTGTACTCAGCTAACAGTCAGTGGCGGTCATGCTAGGAAACTGTTGACATAAACAATTCAACAACTGCACAGTCACCACCATCATGTAACAGTGAATACTAATGTAGCCTATGAAATGCCAACCAGTCCTGTTTCTTTTCTGTTATGTTAAACCGCTGTAAGAGCTCTTTTTGATCTGTACACCTTTTAAAGCAATGCTATTTGCAGTAGGGCAGTTCAGAGGTCACAGCAGCCTTTGCAGTTCATTCCTAGACTCCCCCCAGACTCTCTGTACAGGACATCATTATCTGATAATGTACCACACAGTTCTTCATCACAAGGGACCAATTATAAATAGTCCTCATCTTTAAGAGCCATGCTGCAAGGCATATTACTTTTCACACAAATGAGCAAATCATAATACAGTGGCTGCCGGTAAAGGCTAATATGCACAGTGTAGGTGTGTATGTGTGTCTCCTGCAAGAATGAGAACTGGAGCTCTGGGTTTTCCTCCATCCTCTCATGGCGCTTTAGTAAGGTTTGATTTATGATTATATTTCAACAGTTATAGGACCTTCTTCATGCCAAAATGTAGTAATTGAAATGCCATGAAAACAGCTGTTATATGTAACAAAGACTTCCACAACACTTTCACTTTCAACTCAATTTAACCTAGAGGCCTTGATATAGACTACGACCTGCAAATCACCTGAACTGTCCTCATAAGCGAACATTTATAATAATTAAAAATGACATTTTGACGCTATTTAGCTATGCATGAATTATGCCCCATCCAAACACACCCCTGTGAGTGCCAATGAAGGACACCTCAATGTGTTTCACCTTCACACCAAAAAGCTCAACAGCAGGTTTCAATGCACGCACAGGACATTTTTTTTATGTTTCCATGGCGTCATACCCAGGGTGATATGTGCTGAGTGAAGGTTTACTGGGCACAACGCCATGGGAGACAGCTGGGCCACATGCCAAAGGGACTGTGGATGGGGTGCAGATAAGGATCCATTGGTGAAAAAAATGATCCTGTTAGGTTGTCTTGTTCAGAAAGCTCCATAAGTAAATGTCTGTCTGTCCAGAGCAGAACACTGGAGCCATTAGTTCAGCCTCTACAACCAAGAGGCCACACGATTAAAAGACAGAGGAGGAATAAATTGTTCAATTGATCATTTGATGGATTTTATTTTCCATGAGTAAGAACTAAAACAAGAAAAAAAAAAAACAAGGAACCACTCACTAGCGGAAATTTTAATTAAATATTGACAATCTTTCCTGTTTTTCCTTCTTTTAATTTAAGCAGAGATAAAATGAAGGGGAAATAGGCTCATTCTTTTACTATAACAGTAGTCCTCTGTGTTGGTTCAATCAAAGGCATTCATGTTTTTGTTTTTTTCCAGAAAACTAGGATTTTGTACAAAGATGAATTTTGGAAAATGTTTAAGATCAGTCATGATATGATTATTTCAATTCATTATGTTGCTCTGCTGTAGTGCCTTTAATTATAATGCTTTTTGTTTCAGAAGAACCAATTTAGGCTCAAAATATTGTACTCTAAATGCAATAACATATAAATATGTTTAAAAGGGAGCATTATTGTCAGTCCTTGTGAAAAACAAAGGATGTTTTGCACTTTACTGAGATATGATATACTGCATATATGATATAGTATATATATAATATATATGATATGTCATCTTATATTAAGCTTTTAGGAGTCAGTTCATACCACAATTCAAGCCAAAAGAAGAGTAACTTGTCAACCACCTGGGAAAACTGTATGTCAGAGAAAGCCAAAAATGAATTACAGACCTTTTCTGGCTCATTCATATATTTATATACCAAATTGGTGATGTGTTCTTAGAGTCTTGTTAGACATTTCTGCTGTTCAGGATTTATAAGCAACATTAGGTGCATTCTTCCTTTTTTAAATGGCCTAACTTTCCACCAAAGAAATCAGTGAAGTTGGTTTTGATAACTAATAAACATACCGGACTGAAAACATAGCCTCTGCGGTAGAGATAATAAAGTTAGGGAAACTCCAGCTAATGCAAAATGAAAACTAAAAAACTATTCATGTGAACAGTCACATTGATGAAAATGCATAAAAAGGCTACAGATTTCGGCAACTTGTTTCAAGTGGATGCACATTTCTTGAGCCAGCTCTGGTTCACCTCCACTTATTTTGTATTTTTTTATCAGCCCATAAGACCCACACAGTAAGCCAAAAACATTACAAGCTCATGCGACCACACCAGTGGCACTGTGCACAATTATCAGCAACCCTCATTTACATTTTTGGTTGATCCTTCCTGTCCATACACACACACACACAGTGACCGATTCACTAATAACAAAACTAATATATATATATTTTTTTAATTAAAGTCATAAGAAAAATCTGTATTTTATTATTTTCAGTGTCTGACTTTTGGGTCATTTGTTGTGAAAGGACAGTTTGCCCTTATGCAGTTGTGCATATCAGCGGCTTATGTCACTGGATCACAGACCACTGGGCTGTAGATTGTAGATGCACTGTATATAAAGCTCTGCTTTGGGGATGTCAGAAAATATTGAAAAATAACTGTAACAATTTCCCAGAGCCCAAGATGATATATCCACAGTATGTATTTTGTCTGACCAATGGTCCAAAACTCAAAGATATTAACATTAAGACGCTTGGAAAATGACTTAAAGTGTTAAACAATTATCAAAATTGTTGCCAATTTGTTTTCTGTCGATGGACTAATTGATTAAATGGCTAATCGTCTCAGCTCTGCCCTACTTTAGCATTTAGTCCCCAGCTCATGAAAATGATTTGCCTGTAATTAAGATAATTTACTTATGCTGAAGAAATTCCTATTTAGACTTGCTAATCAAGGGATATCTGGTTTGGTCCAATGCAAACATCTAAAGGACAAGCTTTAAGTGAAGGTGAAGGTTTACAAATGCTAAAACACACTGGCACTACGAAATTAAAATAGAAAATAGTTTGTTGGTAAGACTGTAGGATCCTTGGTGTGCATCTGGGTGTGTGGCAGCAGTGAAGAAAGTGGTAATCAATTCTCATTGGAGGCAACAGAGCTCAATTGCACACTTCCCCAGCAGCAATTCTCCAGAGCTGAGGCTGATGCACCACAGGCATGCAGAATGAAAGGCTTTCCAATGGATGAAACTAATGCCTCCCCTGGACTCACGGGACACCATAATGCATATTGGACAATAACGCTGATGAATAAATTCCTCTGAATATACCTTTACACACTTTAGCTACTTCTACTACTTGTATTTGTTGTCACATCTCCTTCCAAATTTCAAACTTTTAACATCATCTCTTCACCCTCCAAAGGGCAGATACACAGTTAAATTAATCATGACATGATGTCTGAGAGGTACTTATCTCACCTGTTCCAGCTTCTCTTTGCGTCGGAGAAAGATGGATGCAGAATAGCCCTGCTGCTGGACTGCACTGTAGCTGCTGCTTCTCATTTGGGACACGCAGGGCACGAGCGCTGGGGGAGCCTCATCTGGCCCCCTCGACCTTGGATCACCTGACAGTTCCATTGATGACCTGTGAGCTGCTCCCTGCAGGAGCACACACACTGATGTACACACACACACTCACAGCCAAGCAAGCATAGAGCTGCTGTCACTCACGTCTTCCCTCTTTTCTTTTCTATCTATCATCGAGTAGCTGAATCAGCTGCTATTGGTCTCTGTGCTGTCTGAGCTACAGTGTGCAACCTGTCTGTTTATGGACAGAGCACCAATGCCTCCTCACACTCACACACACTTGTTGGGGAGGGTGTGTGTGTGTGTATTGTGTGTGTGTGTGTGTGTGTATGTGTGTGTGTGTGTGTATGTAGTACAGTGTCTCAGGCGGTATGGGAGGGGCAGGGTATTGGCTGGGAGGTGCAACAGGAGCTGCTGCTCTGGACAAGACAGAGCAGCAGAGAGAGAGGGAAAGTAATTTGATTGAGAAAAGTCTGAGGAGCCTAACAGACATCAAGACACAAACACACTTTCTCTCTCTCTCTCT